CCTCCATGCCAATCACAGTGACACATCAAGTTTGTGTCAGGAAACAGTGTTGGAGATTACAATCTAATACAACATTGCCCTGAGCCTATGGGACGAAGCAGGCAATTATTATGAGACAGAGATGATAATGTAAATGTTGGCAGGCCACATGCAAATAATTACAAATAGGATATTTTTTTCCTTAAGCTTTTCACTTTTGGTATAATTGCTTGTACAATTGGAAGGAGGGGTAAGGACTCAAGAGGGAACGTTTCTGAAAAGATGACAGAGTCTAGAACAAGGCCGAAAAGGATTTCATTAATAAAGTATCGTGTTGGCTTGTCCATTAATCCCCTCAGTGACAAAAGGAACATGGAGATCACTGTCAGTCTCAATTTTCTAATTTTAGAAAATAATTCTCAACACAAGGTCATTAAATGTGTAATATTACACCCCACTGTAATTTTTACATTTTGGTTAAGGGGTTTATCAGAGTCTGAACTGGATTCATATGACCAACAACAAACTATCTTAATAAATAACATTTCAATCAAAACACCTCTGTAATCAATATCCTTGGATCAAACAATGTGTGCAACTCGAATATCGAGCATTTTAGTGTCTTTTAGCTTATAGTTTTGGTTTTGTGGGACACATATTTACAGTTCTGGGTCAGTCTCACCCCACTCATAGCATTGCTTTCAGACTCGTCAGGCAACAGTTTTCAGCAAAAAGGCTCTAAAATCCAACTGTACACAACCTGCTCCGCACAAAAGGGAAAACAACCAAAGATAGAGACTTTCATCACATCCATCAGGTGGACAGAAACACGCCTCCAAATGAATGCTAATGTTGCTCTGTGTCTGCTCAATGTGTAAATAGTCATCTGTCTGCTAGTTCCAATATCAGCTTTTTTACAGATGGTTTCCACTGCCCTCAAGCTGCCAAAAAAATCTATTATTGCAGGTTTAACATGCTTAATTATGCAAATATTAACATTTTCAATTCCATGGCAACTGAGTAAACGCCTTTGGCTGATGAAGATCATGTGGTTATGATAGAAAGCTCCAGAACAGCTCCTAAATACGCCTTGCTTGCATGGTCAAGAATAAAATGCAATCCCAACAATTTCAACATCTACATAATTCTGCAAATGCTGTCTGCTGAGTAAGATTGTGTGATATGAGTGGTATTTATATCCTCCTCTGTTTGATTGTGAATACAATTTTAAAAAATTACAAGTGAATTTCTCCATTGTCCTTCCCTTCTGATTAGACTGAGATTCATTTGTGCAATGGTAAAGGTTGCTCTGACCTAGCCCTGTAATCGCACATTTTTGAATGTTACGAGGGGGGGATGCAGCCTGTGCCATATGGCTAACGATCACAATAATAAATCAGTTTCAGGCACCCCGTCATAATTTATCCGAGAAATTATGAATTTTTCCATTCAGTTGTTTCCAGTTAGTTGCCGCGGCATTCCACGACCTCATTTGAAAAGTGGCAACGAGGCAAGCAGGCAGAGTTTTAACCAACTGCTGGGATTTTACATGGGACTAATCATGAAGCACTGATTGATTGAAGGTCTGTTATCAGTGGGATCCCCCCCCACCCCCAATATGTAAATGAGTAACCTTTAGGAGGGCTCTGAGTGGCAGCAGTGGCAGATGGGCAGTAACTGTAATGGGGTGGAGGTTGGCTTGAATAAATATCCCATGGTCTGGAACTTACCTAGCCTCTACAGCGTCCAACTAGGCTGCGTGACAGTCCACCACAAAAGAAAGCTCCGGGAAACAAAGTCATGGAGAGCTGAACTGGGTAGTCAATTAATTGACTAGTCAATGCACAAAAACTTTACCTGCAACAATTTTAATTACTTATTCCAGCTTCTAAATGTTACTAATTGCTGGTTTTCCTACTCTTTCACCATAGTAAACTGAATATCGGCGGGAATTGGACAGTTGCTTGGACAAATTTGTAAGTCGGAAGTCTGGGAAATTGTGAATTTTCACAATTTTCTGACATTTTGTAGACAAAATGAATAATCAAGAAGAAAACTGGCATATTAAAATCGATAGTGAAAGAAACTTCCATCCAAAGAAATTTCCATCCCTAAAGGGGAGGTTCTTGTACTCAGTGTTGTATTAAAATGTGTATACTACACAACGTACTGCATGTTACTGGAAAATAACAATTTTTTTAACTTTTGCTATCCAAAACTAAAATTCAAAACAGGGCTGCATTGATAATCACAACTTTAAGCTACGTCTCAAAGTCAGCAGTGACCATTCCAGACAATTTCCTGTTGTTTTACTTGTGGAAATTGTCTGTGATTATGCGTTTAAATTCAATATATTTAGTCAAAGCAATAAACAAAGTGAGCCTTCGTGGATTTGAACGTGCCATTCACTTCAATTCCAGACACTTAACAGTGAAAGTCTGCAGCAGTGAGGCCCTTTAGTCTCTGTAGCCCAACAACAGGGAATCCATACAGACAAAGGCATCAGTGGTGTCTAATTGAAATCCTTCAGAGGGAGTAAAGAGGGAGAGGAGAAGAGAGACCGAATAAGAGAGAAAAATCAACACAAACAGACAGAGACGGTTATTTCTGGAATACAGACTACAGCAAGGTAAATCTGAGGAAAACCATTATGTCACCCTGTTCTTGATCTGGGAAAGTGGCAGCACAGAGCAAATGAAAACATTGCAGCACAGACTCAGGCCCTACTGTGAGGCAGAGGTGGAAATGTCCATTTTCCCCCACAGCCTTAAATTAACATGACAGCCAGTAGCTTTTTGCTACCGCAAAAGTGAGTGATTAGTATTATCGTTTAAATTGTAATTTGGCAGTTAATTAAAGTGACCTTGGTTTCTATTGCTGCATCTATAAACGGGCAACCAGAGTGCCGTTCCGTCTCTCAACCGTCTGTGAGGCCGCTGTCACTGGGGCCCGTTACAGGATTAAGTCACCCCGGTGACAAAACCAAATTAAGCAGCTGTCACCGCCTACCTGCAGCTCGGAGCTTAAGATGATCAACTTATGACCGGTCGGGGAGCAGAGCCTGTTCTCCCTCTCTGTCCTGTCATTATCATTTTGTAATTTATGATTAGTTTTAATGTTTTCTTTCAGAGCGTCATTAAAAGCGAGATGTTAAGAGCAAACTGCATGAAATCATTGGCACCATGTGTTAATGTTTGATGAAAAGTCTGTGACAACATCTTTAAAATCCAGAGGAGTGAGTTTAACAATTAGTTGTGTTGTCCCGAGTGTGGAAAATTCTCCGCTGCATTTTCTGACTCAGAATTTAAAGCATGAAAAATTAATCATTTAACAGAAATGCTAATGTTTGAGATTCCCGGTGTACAACATTCTCTAAACATACTAATCCTGAGGGAGAAATCAGATGTGACAGAGGTAAACCGAGGTGACATTCATAAGAACCAGAATGGGACTATGCTCAGTCAACACCACAATGTTATGATACATATTTCATACTGTGATGCAGCACATAGAGTAAAAATACACTGGAAATGAATCATACATGTATGCCCATGATTATAAGAGAAAAATGCTAACAATGTTTGAACTGCTATAATCCTGTATACTAAATTTCTTGACTTTAAACGACCTACAGCATGTGAATGTTTCATGCTCTTACAACACTAATCATTCATGGTGTGACAACACTGTGAATTAAGCATACAAATGACTAAGTTTAGGGAAAGAGCATGGCTTGGGCTCTCATGATGGCTGCTAATAAACCTGTGATTGAAACTCCTCAGTGCAAATTCAAGTCAGCAGTGATGCACTTCAAAACAAACAAATGTGCCGATTAGCAGAACGACACAAAAACACTGGGAGGCGAGTTCTTAACCCCACAGTGTCCAGGCAGCCTCCCACTGCAGATTCAGATTGTTCCACAGTAATATCCTATAGTGAGTCTGCTGTACATCGTAGAGAAAACTAAAGCATATGGTCAAAGTGCTTTACTTACAATGTGCCTTCATGTGTTCAAACTGCAGTTAAGGAATTATTAACAGGTCAAAGTCTAATGATTATGAAGGTATTTTTGTGTTGGCAAGGTCACAGAGTCTGTCTATCATAAATGATGGAGCATTACTGATTATTTCTTCTTGACAATATGTGAGTATTTAAGGGCTTCAACTGTTGAAGTAAGATTTATGCCACAGTTCAGTGTTTACATTTACCAAAAAGTATACATTTTCTGCTTTTAAACCCCTAAAGCAAGTTGTCTAGCTAAACTAAAAGATAATGGAAGTAAAAGTTTATTATTATTAATATGAAATTGTTAATAAAATATAAAATATGCCGTTTTAACAGTATCAAGTAGTCACACAGTGAAAAATGAACTAATTTATAGAAATATAACATTTCGATGCATCAATGCATTGATAATGGTTTTATGACCACATGATAGCCCGAATTGCCCCTGGTGGCTGTTCCGCCAGTGATCCAATAATCTGTCGATTATTTTCTCGATAAATCAATTAGTTGTTTGGTCTAAAAAATGTCAGAAGATTGTGAAAAATCAGTGTTTCCCAAAATCCAAGAAGACGTCCTCAAATATCTTGTTTTATCCACAACTCAAAGATCTTCAGTTTACTGTCAAAGAGAAGTAATGAAACCAGAAAATATTCACATTTAAGAAGCTGGAGTCAGAGAATTTGTCTTCAATGACTCAAACTCATAAATCGAATATCAAAATAGTTGGCGATAAATTTAATAGTTGACAACTTATCAATTAATCGTTGCAGCTCGCAGTTGAAAACGGGAATGGGATGTTGGGTGCGGTCAGAGGTGCAACAGACTTCTACATTATTAATGTATCTATGTTTTTCATGTGGACTTACTCTTTAAGTTACTTGTCCGGCATTGTTCTGACTTTGGAGGACTATTTATAAAAAGGGCTACATGACCAACACTACTGGACATTAACACCCTTAAAAAACTTAAAAGCTTAAAGCTTTACATAGATAGACATATGACAGCGTTAGGGTTACCTAACTGGGCCCAGGCGCTCCATATCAGGTGGAAGTAGACTAAGCAGGGGCCGTCACAAGTCCTACATGAGAGACAGACAACAGGTTAGAAATACATGCAGCCGGAGAGCGAAGACACAAAATAAGAAGCACCTGTCACACACATATTGCTAGCTAATCTAGCTTTACATAACTCGCCCTACAGCCCAGGTACCAGTCTTCATAAGGTACAGCCACTGATTCTGATAGTGTCCGCAAATCCTCTCCCTGACCACCCTGTTATAGTACCTTGCAAAGTAAAGTCAATTACTTGTCGAAAGTATTATCACTCTAAATTATATTAACACTTCTGTATTACGTCTTGACCTCCGTGCATGCTGGTTTAAAAACTTCGGCTAGCATACACTCACATTATGTTAGCATCGTTAGCACAGCTTGGCATTGCTTAATGCTGGTTAATTTGGTAGTTAATGAGCTAACCTTAACTGCTGTTGCCACCACAGTGGATGATGAGGACATCCAGTGCTGCACTGCCAGTCAAGCTTCATGCCAAGACGGCTAACAATAGCTAACTGTTATATGTCATTCTAAAAAAGGAGACAGCAATAGACTCCGTGACCTTGCCAACAGTAAATATAAATAATCATTAAATCATGCTATTTAAAAAGCATTTCTATTGAAATTAGCGACACAACGTCAACTTACCTCCATCTAGCCTGTACCACAGACTGTATATAAAAAGGCTTGTACACGCTACAGCTCCGTCTCCAGAAAGTGGACGGAGCCGTCGGAGCCAGGGGATTGTAGGCGTTCGACGCAAACCCATGATTGGTCAGTCAAACCACCAATAAAATGTCTAATTTAGACCTTTTTTGTTTTTGACTTGCAAAACTTATTAACTTGCAAAACTTTCTGACTTGCATGGAAAACTTTTTAACTTGCAATCAATAAGGACAAATTAGTTAATAAATTAAAACTTTTTGTGACACAAAAAAAGGCCTGTTTATTTTTAATTACAAACCTAATTTTTGATTGCAGTGCGAAAAATATGCTCTCAAAACATTTTTTTTTGCTTGCATTAAAAAGACACAAAAATACCTTCATAGACCTGCGGTCCTCAGTGTAGTCACAATGACTCACTAAAAGAACTCACCTCAGACTAACTTCATCACAGAAACCCTAAAAGAGTATCTAAGTAATTTGCGATTTGCAATAAACAGCTGAGATTGAAACAAGTGGCAAAAAGATGTGAAGGGAAGGTGTGTGTGTGTGTGTGTGTGGGGGGGGGGGGGTTACAATACTCATGATAAAACAGGCCCATACAGACTGACAGCAGGTAAATTATGTGTCAGTAAGGTCTGCATTTCAATCCTTGCATATATTCAATGGGGACCAATGAAAAGCCTCCCTGCATCCCTGCCTGCAAACAGACTGATTCAGTGCTAACTGTTTTTGATTAAAACGTCAATACGGCTGTGGGCTCCTTTCATCTCTTGGGCCCCAAGCTGTCTGTCTCCTCACCCCCACATACCGCCCCACGAGTGGGGTCCGGCTTGTGACACGGACGACCATTTATCTACTCGGAGGATCGTGTCATGTAATAAGCCCCGTCTCCAGAGAGCATTTAGCCTGATAGGAAAAGCTGATTGGGACAAAAGGCCCCTGAATCTCATTCTGGTTCCCGCAGTGGCAGGTGACTGCCGAGGTAAACACATTTCTCTGGGGAGGAAGAGGGAGGCGTGAGGAGAGATGAAGTAAGAGATAGACCGTTGTAGCAAGTGAGTGTGCGTTTCATCATCAGCATGGCAGCTCCTGGTAAAGTTGTGCTCTACTGTAGAAGAAACAAATTCCCAAAAGTGACATTTTTCAACATCATTAGAGGATAGCTGGTGGTAACTTCAATCTGCCACACTATTACTAGTATAATATAGTAGTGCTGTTTCATTGTTTCAGTGTTCCCCAAATAAAAACAAACTCATAAAAAGGGGAAACGTGCCACAGGGGAACATCATAAGAGGTAGATGGATGTGGCTCTCAAGTGCTCGCAAAAAAATATAAAAAGACATTAACTGGTCTCATAAACAACTGGGTCTGTAGATTTTAACACTTACCCAAAGCAAGCACACAAGGCTGCTGTCTTGTTTGGCTTTGTTTGTTTGAGCCTGAGAAAAACAGAGAGGGGAAGGCAGGATGGTCAGAGCGAGCGGCAGCTGTATCCACAGATGCTCATGTAAAAACATCCCTATTCACATGTTCCCCTCCACTTGTTTGTTTCCTGGTAATTTAGCCCTTCAGCACAAGAAAAAAAAATGCTGCTTTGTTTTCATACTAACAAGGCAATTAGGAATCATTATACATTTCTTCTCTGGTTGCCTACAGGTGGAAACTGGTAATGATTTAACCAACTGATAGCTAATATCTAATTTGTGTATGTGAGCATCAAGCGCATCTCTATGTTTGTTTATAGAGAGCAAGGTTAAAATCCTAGGCTACCAGTGTATTTATCGACCAGCATTTACTGACTCATCTCCCACGTCTGTATAATAGATGTGCATGTCCTGAGTAGGTGCAAGAGCAGGAGGTACAGTAGTGATGTGGAAATTAGAGCAGACAGGCAGCATTGACACCAAAAGAGTTGTAAACGGTGCTCCTGGCTCCCCAAGGACGGTCTGTCACGCTGTGATCACCGGTAATGCCGCCAGGAAAGGGAGGGGGGGCGCAGTCCACAAAGAGCAAGATAACATGACTACACATAAAATACCTCAGGCAGTAAGATCCAAGGATTGGGCACCATGGATTTCGCCTGGCAAAATTTACTTGCATGGTGTGGGAAAAAAGCAGGAGGGGACAGGGAATAGAAGGGGTTGTTAACATAAACACAAAGTGCAGGCGCAAGTATGGCTAGAAGGCTAACAATAGCAGTCCACAAAGTTGTTAATTATACAGCTTCAAACACTTCCCCTTCATTAACCTCTGTCACTGTCCTTGTAAACACTGCAGCACAAGCAGCATCCCTTCTTCTCCACTGCTTGTATTGTTTAACCAAACAGTTACAAACCTTGGAGCTGCAGGTTGCCACTGTAAATTTGCATCTGAAAGTTTTAATTAATGATAACCTCAGTGGTATGAATCAGACTGTCACACCTACTATTGTTTAAACTGCTATTTTTGCAGTAAGAACACAATGGATGTAGATGTTATTTTTTTAGATTGACATTACAGTTCCGACCTTCTTATAAGCTACTTAGGAGTACAAACCAAAGGCAACAAAATGTTCAACATTTATTAGCAGATTAGAAAAAGCAGACAGTCACACACTACACTTTCCAGTATTAGTATTACAATTTTCCTATTCACCAAAGTGCAGCGGTTCACAAGAAAACAATGATAATGTTTTCAAATGATGTATCTTTCAATATTACAAAATCCCTTTAAAGGGGTAATAAGTAGTTTTTAGCGGCCACTAGCGGTGCGGTTTTAAGAATGCAACCAGGTGTGTGCTTGTACCATAGACTGTATATAAGAAGTGGACGTAGTCATAGTGACAGCCCCCATTGGTTTGTGGATTGCCGTTTTGAAGCCTCGTGTTTGACCGATAGGGCGCTGCCATGTTGAGTTTTTGCACCAGCGGCACCGAATGTGACCATATTTGGATGAGACAGTGGAGCTAACAGCCATGTGGAGCTAGCTAGCTTGCTTAGCTAGGTGCATCTGTAATTCACGTTAACTGTCATTTTAACAGGGCTGACAATTTTGTCTAACGAACAACAGGCTTAAAACTAAATATACTCAACAGAGAAAGTGAACTGCCAACTCCTAATAAGCTTTTTCAATGGCGCTGGTTAAATTTAAAAAGTGCGTGGGTACGAGTCACTGTAGCCTGATTGACAGGTCACCATGGTAACGACTTGTCAATCACAGATAATCCCGCCCTGAAGCATAATCTGCTTTATAAGTAAATTTTTGGGGAAGCCAGGTGAGAGGGGATGTCCTTTTTGGAGGGCAATTATATAATGTATTGTGCTATTACAGGGTATAATTTTACACAAAATTGAATCAAACTTTAAATATGCTGTAAAGATCTGTTATCAGTATCAGAGTATAGACAATTATTCAGGTAGCCTAACCTGGCCCAGTGCCCTGTGGCAGATGCTGTCTGTGGTTCTTATTATCTATGCGTACACAAATGCAGTAAAAACAATAAGGTTACTTCAACTGACTATTCATTCAGCAGCTAAATCCAGGCAAGCAAAGCAAAACAAACAATATAACCACATTAAAAATTGCACAAATAGCTGCAGTTCAGTTAAGTTCAGAGAGAGCAGGAGGTAACATTTCATTCACCCTATTTGAAAAGGAAGGGCATTCTCCTGTCTGTCATAATGGTGAAGTGGTCAATAACCAAGTTATAGAATTTCCCACTGGCTTTTCGTCCTCCACAACAACAGAGTCAGTTGAAGTTTGCCGCTACTAGCTAACATTTGCCACACTGTACGAATATAGTTTTCCTCATTGAACGTCCAAAACCCCTTTTGTCTCCCCACGCCCAGCTCCAGTTTTGGCATTGGTCGTCCGTCAGATTTAATCTTAAATTCCTGCGGTAGTTTAGTAAAACTATTTATTATAACTAAAAACTCCAAATCTCCACCCTCCATAACTGCACCAGCTAAAGTTGCTAACAGCTCCCGTTATTTCATCTGAATGACGTTGATCGCATGCTGTGATTTTATTGGCGTGAAGCCAGACAGCGGCTGGCTTCCCTTGGCATCATCCTGACTAATCACAGTTAGGCAGTGGCATGACAGTGGCCTCATCTGATTGGTTAATCATTAAAAAAAATTTTCACAAAGGGATGCCAACTCTGCCTGGCCTCCTCGCGTAGTCAGACTGAAGGCGAGTCTACGGTGGCGCAATATAGTGTTTCACCACACATCCAACGTGTAACATTTAGAGGGGCACTGTTTCACTTACTGTAAGATAGTGAGAAATGGGGAAGAGATGACCGCAACAGCTTATAAGATTTATCGAAACTATAAACATTGTGTTTTTATTGAAATAATAAAAAGAGTCTGATAAAAACAGGGGAAGCCTGGCTTCCTTGGCTTCTGGGAGAAAACGCCACTGAGACCAT